ATTATAATATTAATAAAATAAAATATAGAGTTAAAAGCTGTCAATATCAAATAAAAGTAAAAAAAAGAGAAATTATATTTATATTTTTATATATTTAAAAAAAAGATTCTAATAACTTAAGATATATTAACTAAATCTTTTAAATCTTAGAAGTTTAATTAATGTATAAAAAAAATTAATAATTTAAACTCAAATATTAAAAAGTAAAAATTTTCAATCTATAGTAGTATAATATATTTAAATATAATATTAGATAGTATCAACAGATATAAGTATATATTTTATATAATTTCTATATAAAATTTCTTATAATTATTATTTAATTTAAAATTTTATCAAATAAAATAATATAAATAATTTAATAAATAATATAATTTAGTAATTAATTAATTATAATATTAATTTATAAAAATATACTTTTGAAACTTTAATAATTTTGAAAAGAAAACATTTATTAATTATTTAATATTTTTTAAAAAAGTATTAATAATATATAAATAAATTTAAAAATAAAAATATATTATTTTTATTTATTTTAAACATATGCTCATATAGATATTATAAAAATAAAAAGTAAATTTAGTAGAAAAACTAATACTAAAATTTAGAAAATAATTATAAAATAATTTTTTAATATTATATAAAAAATTAATAAATTATATTTTAATAAGTAAATAAAGTTTTAAAGCAAAAATAATAATAATTAATATAAAAATATAAAATAAAAATTAAAATAAAAGCTTATATTAATAAATAAAAAAAATATTACTTATATAATATAATTAAAGTTTAAATATAATTATTTTAAATTTTATATAAGAAATTTTAAAAATTATATAAATTTTAATAAATATAAGTTTTGTAATTTAATTAAATACTCAGATTATATTTTAATAAATTATTTATTATATATTAATAATAAATAAAAAATAAAAAATAATATTTAATTAATTAATTAAAAATATATTTTTCAAAATAAGTTAGGAAATAGGTCTTGATCCATTCTAACTTCCAATAAGATAAATATTTTCGATACGCAACTAAAAGATATATGAATATGTTTTTTATATTTTTTTATGCTTTATGAGAGTTTGTGGAGGTGTTTAATCTTT